GCCCTCACTACATTCCACCAAACCCTAGCTGGCCCCTTAAACTGGAAAACAGCGAATTGGACTTGTCTCTCCTCGGTATAGTTTAGGGCAGCAAAAATATTTATCATGGCCTCCAGCCATTTCTCAGCCTCATACGGGTCTGGCCCTCCTAAAAACTTGGGTGGGGAGAACTTTTAAAATCTCTCCAAGGCTCTATCCTGCCCCATATCGGGGTCCCTAGGTTGGTTTACAAGGGCTTGACCCTGTTGTTCCACTAACCGAGTCAGAATGTTAGTCATCTGTTGAATGGCAGTTGCCACTTGATCTCCCCCTGCCGCCTGGGGTTCAGGCTGTGGCTGAACCGCTGCCTGCCTCTCCTCTCTCGGTTCTGGCACCGGTTCCTGTGCTTGTTCACCCTCACGGCCTCGCCTAGAACCGCATTCTCGGTTAGCTTTCTTGGTCCGACTTCTTTTATCTTCCATGTTTCGAGAGTTAATCAGCAGCTATAAACATATAAACAGGGTAAGGTATGGCTTATTTATCACGTTGCAGCAAGATAATTAGAGGCAAATAAACACGTAAGAAACAAGCACTTTATATACATAGCAAACAAGTCATATATACATGCCAACCTAAACACGTCAGTGGCTATACTAGCCCAAGAACATAGAACAAAAGCCCTATTTACATCCACCGCGACACGTCTAAGTCAAAACAAAAGAAACGTGTCGTCCTACTATGTTCCTAACTGTCTCACAAAAGAAGCTCCCTCAACTCTAACAAGTGGTTCGGCTAGACGCCGACCCCACAGACTCCAAGGACGCGCTCGGCTCCTCCTCCGGGTCCTCCTCAGGATCCTCCCCAGGAGCACCAGGAACGCCAGGAGCTACAGGCGCTTGGCCACCTCCGGCCAAGTCCTGGAGAACATCGTCCACAGGGGCCTCACACTCGGTCAGAATGTGGCCAGTCCGGTCTCCAATAGCCGCAACCACTCGCACGAGACGTCCGAAAGTCGCCTGGGCCTGCTCGCGGAATGCATCGGTCCGCTGCTGCTCCTCCAATACCGAGGCCTCCAGCTCTCGGATCCTAGCTCCGTGATCTCGGAGAGTAGCCCGGAGACGCTCAATCTCCGTCTGGCACCTACGATTGGCACTAGCCAATCGTCTCCGCTTGTCGTCCACAGCGAGCACTACCCGATCGGGGTAGGAGTAGGTCTTCCAGCAATCGCAAAGCCAGATCTTGCGCACTGGGGACCATCGCTGCACTGGCCCATCGGGGCCCTCCTGATATGTAATCACGCGACAAACAGGCCCCTCCAAATGCGGTTCGTCGGTAGGAGCGTCCTTAGGCGCGTCAGTAGGTACCTCGGTCGGTATGTCAGTAGGCGCAGGCTGGGACGGTCCAGCACTCCCAGAGGCGTCAGTACCCGCCATAACCTAGATTTGCAAATAACATTGCAAAAGTAAGTACTCATCACGTAGAAAACAAGGCTAAAGGCTAAACTCAAGAATAAAACCTTAGCCTATCACATCAAGCACTCAATCTATCCAGATCAATTCACAACCAAGGCTCTGATACCACCTGTGACGACCCCACCTCCCTCTAAGGCGTACCAAAGGGTTCGGCGGACCGCCTGCCCAGCTCTCGCCAGGACTCACTCACGAGCTCATGCGAATCACGTACATACGCATTCATGAACCATAAATAACATCCACGATTCAAGCTTATAATATACATGGATAGGAAACATGGTACAAAGTCTCGATATACTCAAACTAGTCAAAACGTATACAATCCAAGTACAAAACAATCCATTCGAGGGATAGCGCGAGTACAAGTCAAAATTCAAAACAAAATCAAGAACAACTAGACTACGCTAGCCTTTACACGTCTCATGCTTCACTCGTACCCCTGTAAGGAAAACAAACTAACGGGGTGAGCCAAAACTCAGTGAAATTCCCAAATATCAAATTGATCAACAAATCAAGTGATAACAAAGTAATAATGAAATAGCGAGCAAACAAGTCAAATCAGAAAAATAGTACTTCAGCTAGCCAAGTAATATCAGGTTCACATTCACATGTAAGGATACAACAACCCATATCACGGCTCCATTCCAGCTTGGTCAAGTGGTAGTTGACACTCCGTCAACTTTCAAGTAATATCAAGTCCAAATAAAAACTCCACTACACGCCAATCTCCGTCCATCAATCAACCCCCTTTTCCGAGCCCGCACGCCACATGAAACACGGGTGGTAATACTCGAGTATACCGTTTAGTCGAGGAGATGACACTCCACTCGACATTTCAAGTGACCCAGGGTTTGTTATGTAATCGACCAGGCCCTTGCCGGCTCGACTCGATTAACTAGCCACAGGGTTTCTGGAATTCCAAGCAAGACATATCTCAAGTGCATGTAAAGCAAGTCAAGTATAATCAATAGCAAGAACAAGTCATATTAGGGCAAGTGCGGTAAAGTACACCCTTGCCCTATCATTCATTTTCATGTAATCATACAAGTCAAGTAAGGAACACATGTATCAAGTACAATCGGATATTTGGAAGCACTCACCAAAATATAGCGCTTCAAGTATTCACGTTCAATTATACTCCAGGCTTGGAGTCCAGATCTGCGATAAAAATTCAGTTTGAGAACTTTGAAACACGAATAGGATTCGAAACTTAAACGTTCCGTTCATTAAGAATCGACCAATTGAAATTCATTTGGAAGACATTCGTGAAACACTTGCTCGCTTTTCAAATCGTAAGGTTTTGTAGCATATATACTCGAAAACAACACTTGAGTTGAAAGTACAAGGAAAACAAGTTTACATTGGCCCTTATGTCTTTTCCTCAAGGGTACAAGTTCAACTAGGTTTTAACATATAACCCTCGATTCAAGATAGCCAAAGTCCTAGATGGCTCAAGTACTAGTCGTCTCAACTCGACCCAAGTCGCAAGGTATTTCTATAGCCCTCGAGCGTAAATTCGGGCAGCATGCCCTTTGTGTTTACCTAATTTCCAGCCATTTATGGCTTCATTCTTACTCAATCCAATCCAACATTGTACACTAAACAAATCCATAACACAAATTCAGTTCAATAGCCATTCCATAGGCTCACAACAACACACAAACAAAGATTAAGCTAATTTCAAGTGCGGAAATGCAATTACAAAAGACAGATTTGACGGGTTTTGCGGAAATAACATATCCGAGGCTACGCTTATCGGATTGATACACAGCTTATACCATTTCGAAGCTAAGACGAAGGCCTACAACTTTCATGAAGGTCACTTAGTCAAATTTTCAATGTAACCTGATCAAATTCCCAACTCACATAACCTGGTTTCAACTATTCGGCTAATCGACCACACTGCATTCAGGTGACCATATCTCAGTCTACCAAGGTCCGTTTAAGGCGTTCTTGGTGGCGTTACAAAGCTAAGACAGGGCACTGAAACTTTCATGTTTTGGTGAAAGGCTAAATCCAAACGGATTATAGTGAATAAACTCAACCAAAAGGACTAAACTGTCCACGCGGAACTCTGGAAAGTGACCTAGATCAGCAAGGGTATTTTCATCTTTTCACAAGCTGCGTTGCTCCGATTGAGCTGAATTTTGTGGGCAGCTATAAAATACCATTCTCTACAACTTTCATGTTTTGACCTAAGGCCAATTCGGCCTCTAACATGAGGCTACAAAACCGGACAGAATGGGGAAAATTTTTCCAGAAATCTGGAATTTGTTGATTTCAATGCAACCTTTCTTGATTTCTTACTTCCAACACTACCAAAACTCCTTATATAATCTTATATACAACATATATCAATCATACATCAAGTTTGGCAGCAATTCCCCCCAAACCCTAACTCATATGTCCACAAGAAAACAACCCCCAAGACATGCTACAACCGTTATTCATCACCAACTTGAGTTGCTAAGCTAATTTACACAAGATTGAAAGTAAGAATTAGAGAAATCAGCATCCTTACCTTGATTAGTGTCCACCAAGTGAAACCCTAGCTTTCGCTTTCAAAATCTCACCAACACTTCACTAACTAAACACTCAAAGGTGAGTTTAATCGGTTTATTTTCTTTGTTTTCTTACTTTGTAGATGGAAATCAAGATGTAGGATGGCTGTCTTTCTTGCTCTCTCTCTCCCTCTCTTGTTCGGCCAAGCACAGAAAAAATGAAGAGGAAAGGTGCAAAATTTGGAGATAAGAAGAAAGACTAACTCTTGGTCAAGCGCCACCTGTCGCCACCACCACCTTTCATTTTTCTCTTTCTTTTCCTTGTTATTCTAGCCTTAGAATTCGGTCAAACCTAGCTGAAAATAAGAGGATATTTTGCTGAAGTATCAATAAGCTTGTATGGTAAGAAAGTGGTGGTCAAGTGGTGCGTTCAATCGGTAGTGCGCGGGACCCGTCGGTTTGCGCCGTTTTTCTTAAAAACACACGTACTAGGGTTTTTACTTCCTATTCACTAACCTTATATCATTGCCCCTAATCACATTTTATTTCTCACTTAAAAGTCACTTTTAACCACCAAATTTGATCCTTGCTCCATACCAAAAATTCATCCGGCGGAAAAACACGAAAACCCTAATTTTGCTCCAATCTTGAAACCAAAAGTGAAACCCTACTTTTTAGGTTTATTTATTCTTATTGTAGAACAAATGGGGTAGTAGGGCTTTAGTAGATCATAATTTCAAATAAAAGGCATTTTTGAGGAAAAATATAAGAAATTTGCGGGTCCTCACAGAATGCACAGAAATGGAACAGAAAGGTCTGTACTCTATACATTGATAAATCCAGTACCTCAACTTTTGAGACTTGAGAGTGTACAATAAAAACATGCATAAAAAGTTTTTGAAAGTCAACCAGCTACGCTAGGCGACAAAGTTTGTTGCGAGGCTCTTCCACCTCCTCCTTTAAAACGCAGGCCCCGTTTGAAAACTCATTTTTCTACAAAAAAAAAATTCAGAAAAGAGCAATTAGAATGGTAGTTGAGCATCTCTAATCTGATCTGAAACCTGAAGAATAATGGGAAGAGCCCCTTGCTGTGAGAAAGTGGGCATAAAGAGAGGGAGGTGGACGGCTGAAGAGATGAAATCTTGACCAAGTACATTCAAGCCAACGGAGAAGGTTCCTGGAGGTCACTACCAAAGAACGCAGGTACCCCTGTGTACATGATACTGCTATCTTCGTTCACAAACAATTTCACCAAGTTATAGTTATTTGAGTTCTCCATTATTATCATATCAGCAACAAGGCCTGCCCTTGAGTATGGAATTAATACCTTTTTTGTGTCCATTTTGATCGCTTGAAGGACTACTTAGATGTGGGAAGAGTTGCAGATTGAGATGGATCAACTACTTGAGGTCTGACTTGAAGCCACACCCTTGGATCAACTAATTTATTTATAATCTGTATAATCTCAATATAGTAGTTTATATGCAAGAGAGCATGAAAAGAAATTATACTGATTACCCGATGTGGCTCGTTTGTGTTTAGATTTGGAATTCTTGTCTTTAACATCTCCAACTAGCAAATTAGCAATTGGATTGCCCATTCCTGGATGATATATGAAGCTGCCATGAGGTCCTTGGCCGTTGTAGTCTTTGTATATTCATTGTTGCTTTGAATTGGCTGGGAGTGGGGTCTGGAATATGTTCTTTGCTTTCCGTTCATCTTTTGGCGATGCCGCTGTGTGTGGTGGCTGACTATTCCCCCTTGTATGATGAGAAAAAGACAGAGACAGACAGGATTATGTGATGTCCTCTTCGGAGTTGGGAAGGAGGAATAAATGAAAAAGGAAAAGGGTGTGGCTCCGGTGATAAATATACCTTTATGTGATGATCTCTAATCTGTTTTGTCAGCTAATTGCCGAAGATTAAATCAATGTGACAATTATACCCTGTTGGTCCATAGAAATTGAGTAAAATGCAGTGAAAAGTCCTACATTGGAAGTAAAAAACTAGTTCAAGGACTAAATTGGTTAAAATATTTCATTAAAGACGAAATTGATTTAAGTGAAAATGTTTAAGGACCGAATTGGCGAAATTCCCTTTTTCTAAAATATTTTTACATTAATAATAGGAGTATGACTAATCATCATACTTTTACATTAATTATAACAACAGTACTTATGAAAAGTTACACTAGTATAAATCAAAGTAATTATTGAATAAGATAAGTTATACTCACTAATAACAAAATACATTACATAAGGATATTTTAGAAAAATTAAAATTAACTAAAATTTTCATTTGAATAGTGAATTATAATTTGAGATGGATGAAAAGAAGAAAGCAAGACTACTGAAGTGGAATGGAGGGAGTATCATAAGAGACATAGCTTTTCTTTTTTCTTTTTTTTTTTGGAACATAAGAGACATAGTTAGCAAGCCATATCCTTTACCATCCTAAAAAAATGCCAAACTCAAAAGCTTTAAAAAAAAACTTTTAATACTATTCAAGTTCCATCTTCCCCCTCAAATGGCTTTGCTTCTTTAAAGCATTCCGTCATTTGGACATCTTCAAAGAAGCTTTTACTAATTTCTCTGCATTGTGCTGATCCAATTTTAATTTAGAAAGCTTAGGGTCTTGAATTGCTTCTTCCAATCTATACCGTGGAGAGCTTGACTCGATCAAAGCCTTGACCACGAAACCAATCTAACCAAAAATTCAAAAAAAAAAAGGAAAAAAATTCGTAAATAATATGCATATATCTGAATTTATTCAAATGTAATTCTTGTAGAAAACAATCTATACCATTGCAGTTGTGAAAAACATCGTAGTGATCAAGAACCAAAATGATGTAAGAAGTTCAAGTCGAGATTCTCTAAACAACTCGATTAGCTTCACTACCACTCTAATCCCAACCTTTAGTAACAAAATAAAAGGAAAGAATTTAGTTTCAATTAGACCTCAAAAAACCAAAAGAAGAAAAGCTACAAAAAATTCATTACCACAACACCTAGCACATGTATGGAAAAATAGGTAAGTGAATTAAGTAAGTGAATTATTAAGCAAGCGAATTAAGCCTTTTCATTAGCTGGATAACATTTTCTGCAGTAGATTTTAGTAAATACTCAAAAGGACTGCAGGGTTTCATTTGTTTTATTAAGCGATACGAAAACTGCCTTTTCATCTCCTACCACTACAACAGAATTGGCCATTTGCGGCACATAGCTAATTTGCCGCAATAAAGTGGTATTATTTTGATTATGCTGAAATATTGACCCTGTACTTGGCTTTTTGTGGCAAATTAATGTCACAATTAAATTCCACCACTAATTGCGCAACTAAACGATGTCGTTGTTGTGAGCTATCCAAGCATTAAACGAATAATTGCTGAATCATATTCATGACAAGTAATCTTTCCATTTTCTCAGTCCTTCCACTTCTTCTCCCCTCTCAATTTTTCTAAATTTCTTCTATAGTCCGAGAACTCTATGCCCCAAATTTCTCTTCCGAAAACTTTCGATTTTGCCTCTGCTCATCCCTAATTTCTCATTCTATCTCTCCATTTCTCATCAAACAGGTAATTACTTAATCCTTTAGTAGATTGACACTAGATGTTTTTACAATTAATATCGATGACGAGAAGCAGCAATAGCACCTGAAGCATTGTTTTATCAAAGACGATGCCATGTTCTATCAAAATTGGTGCACTTTCTTGTTCTTCCGTTCTTATCCAAGTCTCCACCGATGAAACCAATCTAATTTGAGCGAAATTTTTGAAGCTGGATTAACTTTGAAACTCGTGGACGAGTTAATGAAGCAAGCTGGATTAATTGAAATTTATGAATCTGGTTTAATTTTAAAACTCATGGACGAGTTGATGAAGAAATCTAGATTAATTCAGTAATCTCTTCTTTTAATTTTTTTTATTTCATTATTTTAGCTCCATTGGTGATTTTTGCTCTCAATCTTTATTCAGTTGAGGTTTGTTTCCCAACCTTAGAAGATCCTTCTGATGATGCCCTAGTCACAGAGTTCAAATCAAGGAAAGAAATCTCTTTTTTTCGCCATCATTTTTAGTTTATGTGCTTCCTTTACTTTTCATTCGTTAATGGATTTTATAAAAATCATGTTATTACAGATTCTATTTTGCCATTATTGAAATATTTCTTGAATACTGGCAAATTTTCATTCTAGTCCCTTGACCTTTGCAACTGGGTCATCTATTTTCATCTCCCGATTCTACATAATTCATAATTTGTAATTTGTATAATTTATAAATTGGTTGGAGAATAAGATTTTGGGTTCAATTTGATGGTTTTGATGCTGGATGCTTATAAAATTTCAGTTGATGATATGTTGCGGTTGTCAGTGATGTATGTTATTTGGAAATTTCATCTCCTGGCTCTGGTTGGTAATTCTGTTTTCCCTATCTCCATTGCCTGGTATGATTGTTAGTCAGTTGAAAAGGACTTTTTTGTACTCAAGTCGTTTCAAGAACCATTCCATGTATACTGCAGTTGCTAGGCCTTTTTTCTTAGTTCTAGAGTCCCCCTGGTGGCTAGTAAGTTCAGAGACAATTCAGTAAATAGACTTCTTTCTATTAAGAATTGTTATTTCAGTATTCTAGCTCTGCTATGTGATTTGTGTATGAGACTGCAAGAAATCTTGTATCATCAAAATTTTTTACTAACTTCATTATAAAAAGAAAATTCCATTTTCGCCATTAGAGGAGGATCCATGAAGTCATCCACTACAGCCCTAAGAAGCAAGAAACTGGTGTTGCTTATCAAATAGCGTTAATCACAATACTCCCCTTAAGATTTAATCTGTTTTGCACTTTACTCCCTAACATTATTTTTCTCGTTTTATTCCCTAAACCATTAGTCAAGTTTAACCTCGTATGATAGAAATGTCAAAAAGACATTTATACCTCTAGAGGTTAACTCCAATAAATCTCCTATACCTTTAGGTATAGCATATTTTGCACTTTATCCTCTAATATCATTTTTCTCTTAATTTCACTGTTTGTCCCTAAAACCACTCAAGATAGATAATATTTAAAATATCATTATATGTAACATAATAATGAAAATGGATAACTTCAAAAATCTCACTCGAGGTTCCTGAAAATTGCAGACAGCTCCTCTCTAATTTGAATAATTACACTTGCACCCCTTGTTATCATGTTTCTTGTAACACAAAAATCCATTTGGCTGACATCAGCCAAAAATACCCAATGAATATCTTAGAACGCCCCAGCACGCTACTCCTCTTTTTCTTTTTTTTTTTCCCTAAAGAAAAAGCCATGAATCTTAAGCCAACATGGGTGTCCAGATCCTTTTGCTCATCAGTGTCATCACATTTAACCTATAAACAACACAAGCATCCCTTGCTGCCTCCTCCTAAGAATCATTGAAATAGGCAGGAGCTTCAACAACATCTTTTTTTCCCTATCATCCCAAGGTAAGCCTGGTAATCTCCTTCATCTTGCAGAGGATCGAGGATTATGGAGGAAATCTCCTCAGCCACAAATTGATTCTTCTCATTCTTATAGTTGACTTGCAATCACGAATTTATCATCAGAGACAGCAATGATCTTGAATGGCCATAATTCCATTTCACTTTGAACAAATAAAATGCTGAATATTTCCAAGGAAAAGTCTGAAGTAACGAGCGTTATAGTAACGAAATTATTTTTACCTGATATAACAGGTAAAAACACTTTTAGTGACCATTTGATTACCTGTTGTACTGGTCATCTGAATAAAATAGTACCTAAAAATATGGTTAGTAAGTTTTACATTAAAAATAGTAAGTTAACTCAAGAAATTAGTAACTTTTATGTCTCAAAAAGTAAATTTGAGGAAATATTGAACTTATTTTTTTTTAAAGTAAATAACTACTCTATATCTAAAACTTACTTTTTGGAGAGTAAGTTTAGTTCAAATAATAGTAAGTTTTTATAGACTAATAGTAAATATTATTGATAGAATAGTAAATTTGGTTAATCATCAAAACTTACTATTTTATGGCATAAATTTACTATTTTACTTAAAGAAACTTATATGGAACAAGTATTAGGAAGTTTATTTGAAATAATGCTAAGATTTTTTATTAATAATTGAAACTTAGTATTATAGTTAGTAATTACTCGTAATGTAAATGTATGATACACAATTGTACGTATCATTTATAAATGTTATATGTTTTAACCATTTTAAATAAACTATGAAAACTTTTTTTTGCATATGACCTTATAAAATATGTAAGAATAATTTGTCATATTATAAATTTTGAATTATTTTTGAATTTGTGAAAGGTTAAAAAGTTTGGATGACAGTAAAAAAAAAATCTTTCGAATTATATATAGAATTGCACTTATCTATACATCACAATTTCCATATATGGACACCGATGAATATAATAAAATGGTACGCAATTTTCATATATTAATGCCTATGAATTTAATAAAATGGTAAAATCTTAATAAATTTATTTTCTGGGTCACAAGTATAAAAATTAAAGTTGTATTAACATAGCATAATCTTTGAAAATTATAGTAAAATTACCCATATGTTAAGTTTTGTGACTTTCAAACATACTTTGTATCATTTACATTATGGATTTGTATCCATATGTTTTCTATCAAACTCTTTTTTTATTGGCAAATGGTAAGTAAATTATTATAAAAGGGCATTTTATAATAATCATAATATTTAATAGATGAATTTTATGTAAACTGTTAAAATTATGAATTCACAAACGACTAAATCTGACTACTTTATGGCACATATTAGTCTAAATGATTAAAAAATTACTGTAATCATGTGCACGTTGATTGTTGAATTGAAATTTCCTTTATTACTAATACAAGTTCTTCTAAGGTACTAAAAATTAATCATTAATAAAACATCTTATCGTTATTTCAAATAAATTCCCTAACACTAGTTTGAAATATGTTTTAAAGTAAAATAGTACATGTGTCTCATAAATCAGTAAATTTTGATTATTAATCAATTTTACCATGTTATCAGTAAGAATTACTATTTATGTATTAAAACTTACTATTACATGAATTAAACTTACACTATAAAAAGTAAGTTTGGGATATAAAGTAGTAATTTATTTATTTAAAAAGTAAGTTTAATATTTATTCCAATTTACATTTTGAAGTATAAAAGTTACTAATTTATTACTGTTAACTTACTATTTTAGATGGAAAACTTACTTTCTTATTTTTAAGTGTTATCCTATTTAGGTGGATAGGCCTATCAAATAATCAAATGGCCGCTAAAAGTAAATAAAAAATAAATCGAAAATGATCATATAAGTGTTATCCTATTTATGTTTCAAAAAGTAAATCGAAATAAAAATGAAAGTTACTTTTTTTAAAAATTAAATTACTACTCTACATTCGAAACTTAGTTTTGTGGGGAGTAAGTTTAGTTCAAGTAATAGTAAGTTTTTATAGATTAATAGTAAATCTTGTTGAAAGAATAATAATTTGGTTAATCATCAAAACTTACTAGTTTGTGGCATAAATTTACTATATTACTTAAAGAAACTTATATGAAACAAGTATTAAGAAGTTTATTTAAACTAGTGCTAAGATTTTTTTATTAATGGTTGAAACTTAATATTATAGTTAGTAGTTGTTGGTAACATAAATGTATAATAATGATTGTATGTTTCATTCATAAATGTTTTGCGTTTTAAGCATTTTAATAAATGTATGCATCATTTATAAATGTTATGTGTTTTAATAAATTTATTTTCTAGGTCACAAGTATAAAAGGTAAAGTGATCGTATCTAATGTAGCGTAATCTTTTAAAATTATAGTAAATTTACCCATATATTAAGTTTCGTGAGTTTCAAATATATTTCGTATCATTCACAATATGGATTTACATGCACATTTTTTATGAAACTTGCTTTTAATTGGCAAATAGTATGTAAATTATTATAAAATGTCATTTTATGATAATCATAATTTTTATAGGTGAATGGAATATGATGAACCTTCGATAATAACCTGCATGTCCAAGAAAAGAGCGCACCTCCCGTACACTCGCGGGGTAAGGTAATGTAGAAATAATGTCTATTTTAGCCTTGTCAACTTCTATGCCCTTAGACGATACAATATGACCCAAGACTATCCCGTGCTCAACCATAAAATGACATTTTTCCCAATTAAGCACAAGATTAGTCTCTATACACCTTATCAGGATCAATTTCAGATTATCTAAACACGTATCAAAACTATCACCATACACATTGAAATCATTCATAAAAACTTCAATAATTTTTTCCACATACTCAGAAAAAATACTTACCATACACCTTTGGAATGTTGCAGGTGCATTGCACAACCCAAATGGCATTCGTCTATAAGCAAAGGTCCCGAACGGGCACGTGAAAGTTGTCTTCTCTTGATCCTCTGGAGCAATTGCTATCTGAAAGTATCCTGAAAATCCATCCAAAAAGCAATAATAAGCTCTACAAGCTAAACGCTCAACCATTTGGTCAATGAAAGGGAGAGGAAAATGGTCCTTTTTGGTGACGGCGTTTAGCCTACGGTAGTCTATACACTGCCTCCATCCAGTGGGTTTGCGCACTGGCACGAGCTCACCCGTTTGGTTGGCCTCCACCGTCACCCCTGCCTTCTTTCGGACTACCTGGACTGGGCTCACCCAAGGGCTATCTGATATTGCAAAAATAATCCCCACATCTAGCAATTTTAAAATTTCTTTCTTTACAACTTCCATCATGAGGGGGTTGAGCCTCCTTTGGGCCTGCCGAGCAGGTTTAGCATCCTCTTCCAATCTAATCCGGTGCATACAGATGGCCGGGCTGATCCCCTTAATGTCTACAATTGTCCAACCTATCGCCTCTTTATGCTCTCTAAGGACCCGGATCAGTTTCTCCTCCTGGATTTTTGACAGTGCCGATGAGATAATCACCGGGAGTGTCTCATTATCACCCAGATATGCGTATTCAGGTGCACTGGTAGAGGTTTCAACTCCAGTACAGGTGCCTGCACCACAGATGGCAATACCCTCTGGTGAGGCTCGAGAGTAAAAATAGGTAAGACTTCATACCTTTTCGTGATGGTTTGCAATGAGTGTAATGCACCTATTGTGCATTTTAGATCCTCGCTCCACTCCACCTCAGGAGTTGTCTCCAATTCGAGGTGCCTGGTCAAAGCCACCTCCAACGCATCCTTGCCATCAGTTTCAAACACTTCCTGCACTACAGGATCAATAGCACTCACAGAGAAAACTGAGCTAAAGTTGGAGTTTGAGAGATATTTCATAGTATCAAAGATATTGAAATGCACAATTTCCCCATCAAACTCCATGGACAAGATACCCTTATTAACATCAATTTTCGTCTGTGCTGTGCTCATAAAGGGTCTACCCAATAACAGAGGTGAGGGATCAGGGGAGTGATCATCATCCATATCAAGTACATAAAAATCAGCTGGAAACACCAAATCATTAACTTTTACCAACACATTTTCAACCAACCCATCAGGATATGCATTAGTTCGGTTAGCTAATTGAATGATTATTCCAGTTTCTTTTAATGGACCTAATTTTAGAGAAGTATAGATAGATTTAGGCATGACATTAATTGATGCTCCCAGATCCAACATGGCCCTTCTGATCACAGTATTACCTATCCTACAGGGAATAGTAAACATACCTGGGTCACCGCACTTTGACGGGAGCTTTCTCTGTAGAACTGCTGACACATTCTCCCCAACAATAACCCGTTCATCTCCCCTCAACCGCCTTCGGTTGACACACAAGTCCCTTAGGAACTTGGCATATTTCGGTACTTGTTTGATTGCGTCTAAGAGGGGGATATTTATCTCAACCTTGCGAAAAACCTCCAAGATCTTCTTCTCCTTATCATGTTTCTTTGATTTTTCCAACCTGCTAGGAAAAGGAGGCGGGTTAGTTTTAGCTGTAATTACTGGGTCAGGAAGTACCTTTAGATCTGCACCATTGCTGTCCTCCCTTTCAAGCTCATTTTCGATCTTCTCTTCATCCTTGTCCTTGGGGATCACAGGCTCAGGCCCTTGAACTTCCTTGCCACTCCTCAAGGTCATGGCGCTCACATTCTTCGGGTTCAACTCAGGTTGAGATGGCAATTTACCTTGATTTTGGGCATCCAAGCGGTTGATTGTTGTGGCCATTTGACTTATCTGATTCCTTATGTCCTGCATTTCGGAGTCCGTCCTTTGCTGATGTTGCATAATGGTTGCCTCCGTCCTTTGCTGATTTTGCGCCATGGTTGTCATCATTTGTTTCATCATCTCTTCCAAAGATGAACCAGAGCTTGGGGCCGGAGGCGGTCGGGGTTGGTATTGCTGCTGGTACCCCGGTGGTTTATTTGGCACGAAATTAGACTGCCTGTTCGGCGTAAAGTTGGGTTGCCTATTCCCTCCATAACTGAGGATGGAATGGTCTCTCCACCCGGGGTTGTAGGTGCTTGAGTAAGGGTCGTACTGCTTCCTTGGCGCGGGCGCGTGGTCAGCCATGTTCACCTGTTCTGCAGTTTCTTCTTGAATCATTGGGCACATGTCTGCAGAATGACCCATGCCAGTGCAAATTCCGCACACCCTGGCTTGTGATGCATTTCTCACAGCCTGTTGTCTAACAAACGCGGTCAACTCAGCTAGCTGCTGCTGCATAGAGGGTGTCTCTACCTCATTCACCCTGCGTATTGGAACATCCTCTCTCGTACCGAATTGTTGTGAATTTTCTGCCATCCCCTCTATTAGGTCCCGTGCTTCTTGAGGGGTTTTGTTTACCAGTGCCCCTCCACTTGCAGCATCAATTATGCTCCTGTCCCCGAAAAGGAGCCCCTCATAAAAATACTGTATGACCAACTGCTCACTTATTTGGTGTTGGGGGCACCTGCGCAACAAGTTCTTATACCGTTCGCAATACTCATAAAATGACTCCCCTGGATGCTGCTTGATCCTGCAAATTTCTTTCCTCAGACTTGCAGCCCTGGACGCAGGAAAATATTTATCTAAAAATTTTTTCTTCAATTGGTCCCACGTGGTGATGCTGCCTGGCGACAGGTAGTACAGCCAGTCCTTCGTAGAATCTTTCAAGGAGAAGGGGAACGCCCTCATTTTTATCTGCTCTTCTGTGATTCCCGGAGGTTTCATACTATTGCACATGACATCAAACTCCTGCAGATGCTTATACGGCTCCTCACCTGGTAAGCCATGAAAAGAAGGTAAAAGATGAATTAGACCTGATTTCAATTCGAACGAAGTGTTATCACCCAAACTCGGGAAAGTAATGCATAAAGGCTGCTGAGTCAAATCAGGAGCAGCCAACTCCCTTAATATTCGTGCATTAGCCATGGTGCCCTCCTCCCGGTCTGAGTCACCCGAAGTGTTACCAAACGAATCTGTTGGTTCAATTTCTGACTCGGGTCTTTGAGATGTAGCACTGGAGTGCTCTTCTCTGAGCTGTCTGGTTTCCTTTCTCGTTCTACGTGCGGTCTTCTCTACCTCGGGGTAAAAAATCAAATCACCTCTACGAGAAGATCGAGGCATACACTAGAAGAAAACCAGAAAATTAGGACAAAAAAATGAATTTAAAGAGAAACAGTTAATAACGCCAGTCCCCGGCAACGGCGCCAAAAATTGACAGGGTGTCGAAGCCTGTGCAATAATAAAATAAAACCTATTTGCCAGTTAAAATGACCAAACCCGATTCCAAGTACTGGAGCAGGGACTCTAGGTGTGCAATGGGTTACTTGATTCACCCTATTCCCGAAGAGTTTGCTTGATCCGATATATCCGAATGGAATGGTTATTTATTTTCACAAATAATTATAAATTTGCAGACAGGGCAAGTAGGGTCGTATCCACAGGGATTGGGTATATTTGTTTCTTAAGAAATTCAAAGTAACACAGGGGAGTGATTTTGTAGGAACAACGACAACCAAATAAATTCAAATAAGAAAATAAAAATAAATAACTAATTATAAATTAAACCACAATTCACTGAACTTAGAATAACAATAATTAAAGTCCTAAATCTATTAAAACAAGGGAACAATTAAAAATGCAATAAAGTAGACAACCAAAAACCAAATGGCACTTCACTAAAATCAAGATAATATTAATTAAAGATCTAGCCAAGAAGTAACTTCAGCAATGGTTCACCTAATTGATCATTGATGCAAGGCAATCCCAATTATTTACCAATAAATAGGTTATAACTACCAAACAAGCGATGGCAGTCAACCCCTCCTTACTGTGTCGGTGATCAAGGTACACCCGTTAATCACTGCTCTAATTGAGAAATAATCCTAGGTACGCCCGTAGAATTTAATTCCCCAATTGCCTTACGTATTAGAGGAGTTCTATTCTAACCAAATAACACACTACCAGGGTTATTTTAGATTAGCCCGCGTATCCCCTTGACACGAATCTAATCGTGCCAGTTGTCACTATTTTGAGGTAATTAAACAATTACGGATTTAATACCCCAAGTGATAATAGATTACCAAATCAATTAATTATCCGGATCCAAGACAATCAACTAATTAAATAACCATAAGCATAGTAATCAGGGAATACACGAATACCAATAAATAAAAGGGAAAGATTAAATTAAATCGATCTCACAATTTTTAGGCGACCCAGACCCTTCGTTGCTCCTTGACTAGGATTGGAAAATTAGCTCATAATTGATGAACTAAATCCACGGGAAATTGAAAAGGGAACTGCGGCCATCAATTGAGAAAATGCCCAGGTTCAACTCGGTCAAAACAACAAAGCACAGCAAAGTTTCAGAGTATCATTTACTGTCATCGCTTGTCTGCTCATACGAGAGGGAGAAGGAAAAGAACAACTAAAAGCTACAAAAGGGAAGGTCAAAGGCTGATGCCTCCTTTCTTCCCCATGTCCGTGAGAATGACTCCCATAGGCTAAGAAAAGTCAAAAACTAGAGCTAATAATTGCTTGTTTCCCCCATTCGTACATGTCTTAAGCCAAAAAGTAAAGTACAAGGGAAAAATCAAGAATTGCTGCTAAGCTACAGACGGAAGACCCCGCACAAGCTAGCTCTCCAACTTCCTCCTCCTTCTTTCCTTTTAATTGCGGCGCACATCAACAGGAAGCGAAGCCCTCCGTCCGTCATTCCCTTGCGAAAATTACCAAAATGGGCGTGACATCTTTTTTTCCAAAAGTGCCCCTGGGACAAGCTTTATGATCTGAATTCTTTTCCTGTCAATTTGGCACCTGTTATCATATTTTCGTTCTACTCCCTGAAATATACGTAAATTAAGAAAAATGAGTAGAATCCAGCAATTAATCCACATCAAGTCAGGTAATAGGGGAAAATGATAATAAAATAAATAGATAAATTGCAATCTATCAATTCCCCCCACACCTAAACCATGTTTGTCTTCAAGCATAAGAAAAGTAAACGAACACCAAAATTCGATGATGGTCATTGCCCAATCTCCTATATTGCCAAGATATTCAAGAGAAAAACATATATCGAGCATTGGTGATTAAAATCCAAGAAGCCTCCCCCCCGGTTAGCCCCTAAACTGCAAATTCCTTCAATTTCCAGGTTAACTACTCTAAGAAAAGGGAATGGCGCACAACATTTATCAGCTAATGGTCCAAATATTCACACAAGTCTCCATATTAAGTCCATAAACAGGCAAGCCTTCCCATTATTTATTCTCTCTTTTTTCATTTTTTTTAAAGGCAATAATAATTAACACAAAAAGACTTAGTCGTTAGCTGTCGGGGCCTTTTGACGCGAACTCCAACATTTTTAGATGAAGGAACCCGGTTACTCAACTCCTACCGCTATACGACCACGTACTCATATAAAGTACCACCTTTTGACGCGAGAATCGACACTTTTAGGTGCCGATCCCCGGTTACTCAGTAGTAACTCATAGCGGAGTACAGTCCAGATTATTCACAGCCAAACAAAGCCAAAAACACATAATAACAACACTAAGAACCAAAAATAGGAACAGCTCGCCTCATTATTGCCAAACATAGAGAACTGGAGTCAATATTGGACCAATTCACATTAAAATGCCAACAGTCATTCCCTATGCCTAGAGAAATTAACACAGAAATCAAAAGAGCCAAGCAATCCGATATTCACCAGGGAGATATTCTGGATCCAACCACATTAACCCGATACATTTTTATTTTAAAAAAAACTTGGCAAAAGTAGAGTTAGAGTCAACAAACCAACATTTTTTCTCTTTTTTTTTTGTTTTCTTTTTCTTTTCACATGGGGAATAAGCACTAAGAAAAGAAAGAAAATACGCAACTAGAAATAAAACTAAAAACTACTAAAAAACTAAAAACTAACAACTACTAAAAACTAGAAAGACTATAGACCCCCCCACACCTATAGGACACATTGTCCTCAATGTGTCAAAAAACAGCAAAAGTGAGGGAGAAAGTAACCAAACTTCCCTGAAACCGGGTCATAGTGGAGGGTGAGGTTGGACTGGGGGCGGGAAACCCGAGTGCTGCAGGAATGCCGCCAGATTCTGTGATATAGCCGCCACGTTGCTCTCGATGTTAATCATCCGAGCGTCCAAATTCTGAATCTGCGTCCTAATTTGGTGCCAATCTTCAGCCCCTGCTGTGGAGGGGGCTGAGCGGACGTCGACGGGCCAGAATCACCGCCAACTGGGGCCGAATAGGTGGAGGAAGAGCGAGGCGGGGCGCGGGGCGGTCCCGGGGGCACAAATCGGTAGTGGCCATCGACAAGCTCCAGAACCCCCATCTTCTTTAGCCGGTCAGCAGTGAGATACTCCATGTCGCAGGCCAAGTGCAAATCGTGATCCTGTAGATTCAGAACGCCTAGCTGGACCGCCAAGTGCGTGATATACGACCCAAGAATCAACGGCTTGTTCTTCTTTGCCATGACGGTCTTGAACTGTGCCACCAACCAACAACCCAAATTGACCTTGAACCCATTCTTCATACACCAAAGGAAGAAGAGCTCCGGCCGAGGGATAATACCGGAGCTGTCCTTTCTGCCCGAGTAGCTATATGCTAAAAGCCGCTGAACATACCGAGCACTCGGGTCCTCTAGAAAGGAGCTCCAAGACCGAGAGGGATCGTAACGCTGCGTGTCCGCAGACATGTCCTCCCACACCTCACGGTAGGCGGTAAGGAAAGGTTCCACAAAATCGCAGGCACTCTCGCCGTACTCCCTAGTCTCTGCATACTCCCGAGTGATGAAACCGAAAGCCAGATTGAATTGGGTGATAGAGAAATTGAATTCTTGGCCCATGAGACGGAAGTGAATGACATCGGGAGTCGCAACAGTATACCTAGTCGGTAATTCAAACTCAAAAGTGGCGTAAAACTCTCTAGTCAACTCGACAAAGGTTGGCTGGAAGATATCAAGATAGGGGCGCCATCCAATGGCCGTGTACATGCGCTCAACCTCCCCTTGGATCCCAGAAAAACCATAGTAATGTGGTCCGCGCATTTGCACGGGATGATACGCCGCTCACAAGCTTGAGCATAGCGCCGCTGATCGGCGGCTTTAGTGAATTCCAAATGCCCTCCCAAGTGAGCGGCAGAAGCCACGTGGGCACCTCTACCCCTACCTAACCGGGTTCGGACACCGGGAGCAGTAGGTTGATTTATAGGGGTATTGACTGGAGTAGAGGCTTAGGGTTGAGATTGCGAGGTTCTAGGGGTCCTAGACCTAGAGGAGGACTTTGGTCTCACCATGTCACCCAACAGTCAGCTCAAAGCAGCAGAAGTTCCAACAGGTATGGAAACCAGCAAATGCAACTAGTAAAGGAAGCTCAGCAGAACAAAGCAATAATTTCCCCGTAATAAACCAATCAATAACAAAAAGAAGGGTTAGCAATTAAAAATGCCCAGTCAAAGCCTTCCCACTTCAAAAGTTTAAGGCATCAGTCAGAGGGCCCCCCAACAATGAAATTATGCAAGACCAACGTTACAAAGTAAGTTAAACGGCACAGGATCTCCACTTTCTAAGCAATAGCAGAATTAACTCAAGCAAAACCCCCACAAAAACCTCAACAATTCCTCCAGTAAAGCAAGCAAAATAGACCTCAACAGGGTACAACAAGTGGCTCTAGATGGCCAGTTTATTGCACAAGTACACCCAACCCACAGGAATTAGCAATTCTAAGCAAAAACAATCCAACCAGTACCACTGGTGGAAATCGCACACGGCCAAAATATCAACGCTTGACGAACCCAGATAGCATTAATCAATTTAGGAGAAATTGGGGAGCAAGCTCCAAATACCTCCGCCAATATCTTGGCAGTCGGCTGACAGGGCAGAGGGGTCAAAGCTCCACGCAAGTGAAGTGCTCGCTGCTGGTTGGGTCGCCTCGCGCAGGAGAGCTGTCTGGCAGCGATTGCGGCGGTGGTCGAAGGGCTGGCTGTCGCGTGCGGCTGCGGTGGCGTCTGAAGTGGGTGTGCCGCGGCTGGGCAAGGGGAAACCAGACAGCGGCGGCGCGCAGCGGCAGCGTGGGAAGCTGTCTGTCGCGGGCCTGCGCGCGAGCTAGTGGCGCCCGGCTGTGGGCAAGAGGCCGCGACGCTGGAGAGAGGGCTGGTGCTCGATGCAAGGGGGACAGCGGCGGCGGAGCGGGCGATTGGGGCGCGCGATGGTGGAGGCGCTGCTCGAGGCGTCGGTCAAGCTGGAGTGGTTGCGCGATGGGAGAGGGAATTTCAGCCGTAGAGCAGATCTGGTGGCGGAGGAGATGCGCCAGTGGGCGGCGGACAGGGGGTCTTCAGTCGACAGAGAAGAAAAAGAAACAGGGGAGAAGAAAGAAAGAAAAGAGAAAGAGAAGAAAGAAAGAAAAAGAAAGAAAAGAAAAAAAGGAAAAGAAAAGGAAAAAAAACAGAAATTGTTTCGTTTCTTTTTTTTTTCTCTTCTCCAGGCTCCATTTAAGCCATGGTGATTATGATTTTTTTTTTTTTGAATCCTTACCTTTCCCGCGAACGTGACGCGGGCACGTCAAGAGAGCAAAAGAGCTCTCAGAAGTTTCTGATCGTGAGCTTCCTGCACGTCACCACGCGGACACGTTATGAGGGCAAGAGAGCTCCAAGAAGTTTCTGATCGTGAGCTTCCTACACGTCACCACGCGGGCACGTCATGACTGAAGGGCACCTATAAATCAGCAAAAACGAAAACTGAAACCCAAAATCAGTCGAATTCAAGGAAAACATATTTAAACTATCACACGAAATCAAACGAACAAAGAATTAAAAGAAACAATTAGGTTGCCTCCCAATGAGCGCCTTTCTTTAATGTCTTTGGCTAGACATGGTAAAGTGTCACTGATTAGGACATGGTGGTGCGTCAAGCCTTATTGTCTCCACATCTCTACCTGAAAATCCTTCGTAATAATATTTGAGATGGTGTCCATTCACCACAAATTTGTTGTCTATCTTAGCACTCTGGATTTCAACTGCACCATAGGGAAAAACATGAGTCACAATAAAAGGTCCAATCCAACGGGTACGTAGCTTACCTGGGAATAGCTTGAGCCTGGATTGGTACAAGAGGACCTTCTGACCAACCTCAAAGGTTTTTCTAGAAATTTGTTGATCATGAAATGTCCGGCTTTTCTCCTTATAAATTAAAGCGTTTTCGTATGCTTCGTTCCGGATCTCCTCCAATTCTTGCAAATCCAACTTTCGTTGAGCACCGGCCTCCTCTAAATTCATATTGCATTGCTTTATCGCCCAAAAAGCCTTGTGCTCGAACTCTATTGGAAGGTGACACGGCTTCCCAAATACCACCCTGTACGGTGACATCCCTATAGGAGTCTTGTACACCGTCCGATAGGCCCAGAGTGCGTACTCCAACCTTTGGCAGTCTTTCCTATCAGGACGCACCATTTTCTCTAAAATAGACTTAATCTCCCGATTCGACACCTCCGCTTGACCATTGGTTTGAGAGTGGTATGACGTTGAAACCCTGTGGAGTACACCATACTTGCGAAACAACGAAACTATGGTTTTGTTGCAAAAGTGCGTTCCCCTATCACTGACAATAGCTCTTGGCATTCCAAATCGCACAAAAATATTAGACCTAATAAAATCTGCAACTACTTTCGAGTCATTAGTCCGAGTGGCCTTGACCTCCACCCATTTAGACACATAATCAACTGCCAACAAAATATATATAAAACCAAAGGAAGTAGGAAAAGGCCCCATGAAATCTATACCCCAGACATCAAAAATTTCAACAAAAATCAACTGGACTTGGGGCATTTGATCTCTACGGGCTATATTACCTACCCTTTGACAGCGATCACATGACTTACAAAACACATAGGCATCATTAAACAATGATGGCCAATAAAATCCACTTTCTAAAACCTTATGAGCAGTTCTCTTGGGTCCAAAATGACCTCCATAGGCAAAAGTATGACAAAAAGCTAAAATCGATTGAAATTCCATCTCACTTACACATCTCCGCATCACTTGATCTGCACACCTCTTCCATAGATACGGGTCGTCCCAGATAAAATACTTGGCGTCGCTCTTCAATTTATCTCTCTTCGATTTTGGCCAACCTGCAGGAAAATTACCAGTTACCAAATAATTGACCAGATCGGCATACCAAGGCAACTGAGAATTTATAGAAAATAAGTGCTCTTCAGGGAATGCATCCCTCAATGGTTCATTATCCTCTCCAACGGGTATACGACTCAGATGGTCAGCTACTAAATTCTCTGAGCCCCTTTTATCCCTTATTTCCAGGTCAAATTCCTGTAGTAGCAATATCCACCTGATGAGCCTCGGCTTTGCATCTTTCTTGGTCATTAGGTACCTTAATGCTGTATGATCAGAAAATACAATCACTTTAGCACCTAACAGATATGACCTGAATTTTTCTAGAGCAAAAATAACTGCAAGAAGTTCCTTCTCAGTGGTGGAGTAATTCAACTGGGCTCCATTCAATGCTCGGGATGCATAGTAGATGACGTGAGCTGCCTTCCCTACTCTTTGCCCCAATACAGCCCCTACGGCATGATCACTGGCATCGCATATAATCTCAAATGGTAGACTCCAGTCAGGGGGCTGGATGATTGGGGGTGAAGTCAACAATTCTTTCAACTTGTCGAAGGCCTTCTCACATTTGTCATTGAATTCGAAGGTCACATCCTTTTGTAGGAGTTGGAACAACGGGGCTCCAATTTTTGAAAAATCCTTGATGAACCTTCGATAAAAACCTGCATGTCCAAGAAAAGAGCGCACCTCCCGTACACTCGCGGGGTAAGGTAATGTAGAAATAATGTCTATTTTAGCCTTGTCAACTTCTATGCCCTTAGACGATACAATATGATCCAGGACTATCCCGTACTCAACCATAAAATGACATTTTTCCCAATTAAGCACAAGATTAGTCTCTATACACCTTATCAGGATCAATTTCAGGTTATCTAAACACGTATCAAAACTATCACCATACACACTGAAATCATCCATAAAAACTTCAATAATTTTCTCCACATACTCAGAAAAAATACTTACCATACACCTCTGGAATGTTGCAGGTGCATTGCACAACCCAAATGGCATTCGTCTATAAGCAAAGGTCCCGAACGGGCACGTGAAGGTTGTCTTCTCTGGACCCTCTGAGGCAATTGTTATCTGAAAGTATCCTGAAAATCCATCCAAAAAGCAATAATAAGCTCTACAAGCTAAACGCTCAACCATTTGGTCAATGAAAGGGAGAGGAAAATGGTCCTTTTTGGTGACGGTGTTTAGCCTACGGTAGTCTATACACTGCCTCCATCCAGTGGGTTTGCGCACTGGCACGAGCTCACCCGTTTGGTTGGCCTCCACCGTCACCCCTGCCTTCTTTAGGACTACCTAGACCGGACTCACCCAAGGGCTATCTGATATTGCAAAAATAATCCCCACATCTAGCAATTTTAAAATTTCTTTCTTTACAATTTCCATCATGAGGGGGTTGAGCCTCCTTTGGGCCTGCCGAACAGGTTTAGCATCCTCTTCTAGTCTAATCCGGTGCATACAGATGGCCGGGCTGATCCCTTTAATGTCTGCAATTGTCCAACCTATCGCCTTTTTATGCTCTCTAAGGACCCGGATCAGTTTCTCCTCCTGAATTTTTGACAGTGCCGATGAGATAATCACCGGGAGTGTCTCATTATCACCCAGATATGCATATTTCAGGTGCTCTGGTAGAGGTTTCAACTCCAGTACAGGTGCCTGCACCACAAATGGCAATACCCTCTGGTGAGGCTCGGGAGTAAAAATAGGTAAGATTTCATACCTTTTCGTGGTGGTCTGCAATGAGTGTAATGCACCTATTGTGCATTTTAGATTCTCGCTCCACTCCACCTCAGGAGTTCTCTCCAACTCGAGGTGCCTGGTCAAAGCCACCTCTAACTCATCCCTGCCATCAGTTTCAAACACTTCCTGCACTACAGGATCAATAGCACTCACAGAGAAAATTGAGCTAAAGTTGGAGTTTGAGGGATATTTCATAATATCAAAGATATTGAAATGCACAATTTCCCCATCAAACTCCATGGACAAGATACCCTTATTAACATCAATTTTCGTCTGTGCTGTGCTCATAAAGGGTCTACCCAATAACAGAGGTGAGGGATCAGGGGAGTGATCATCATCCATATCAAATACATAAAAATTAGCTGGAAACACCAAATCATTAACTTTTACCAACACATCTTCAACCAACTCATCAGGATATGCATTAGTTCGGTCAGCTAATTGAATGATTATTCCAGTTTCTTTTAATGGACCTAATTTTAGAGAAGCATAGATAGATTTAGGCATAACATTAATTGATACTCCTAGATCCAACATGGCCCTTCTGATCACAGTATTACCTATCCTACAGGGAATAGTAAACATACCTGGGTCACCGCACTTTGGTGGGAGCTTTCTCTGCAGGACCGCTGACACATTCTCCCCAACAATAATCCGTTCATCTCCCCTCAACCGCCTTCAGTTGACACACAAGTCCCTTAGGAACTTGGCATATTTCGGTACTTATTTGATTGCGTCTAAGAGGGGGATATTTATCTCAACCTTGCGAAAAACCTCCAAGATCTCCTTCTCCTTATCCTGTTTCTTTGATTTTTCCAACCTGCTAGGAAAAGGAGGCGGGTTAGTTTTAGCTGTAATTACTGGGTCAGGAAGTACCTTTAGATCTGCACTATTGCTGTCCTCCCTTTCAAGCTCATTTTCGATCTTCTCTTCATTCTTGTCCTTGGGGATCACAGGCTCAGGCCCTTGAACTTCCTTGCCACTCCTCAAGGTCATGGCGCTCACATTCTTCGGGTTCAACTCAGATTGAGATGGCAATTTACCTTGATTTTGGGCATCCAAGCGGTTGATTGTTGTGGCCATTTGACTTATCTGATTCCTTATTTCCTGCATTTCGGAGTCCGTCCTTTGCTGATGTTGCATAATGGTTGCCTCCGTCCTTTGCTGATTTTGCGCCATGTTTGTCATCATTTGTTTCATCATCTCTTCCAAAGATGAACCAGAGCTTGGGGCCGGAGGCGGTCGGGGTTGGTTTTGCTGCTGGTACCCCGGTGGTTTATTTGGCACGAAATTAGACTGCCTGTTCGGCGTAAAGTTGGGTTGCCTATTCCCTCCATAACTGAGGTTGGGATGATCTCTCCACCCGGGGTTGTAGGTGCTTGAGTAAGGGTCGTACTGCTTCCTTGGCGTGGGCGCGTGGTCAGCCATGTTCACCTGTTCTGCAGTTTATTCATGAATCATTGGGCACATGTCTGCAGAATGACCCATACCAGTGCAAATTCCGCACACCCTGGCTTGTGATGCATTTCTCACAGCCTGTTGTCTAACAAACGCGGTCAACTCAGCTAGCTGCTGCTGCATAGAGGGTGTCTCTACCTCATTCACCCTGCGTATTGGAACATCCTCTCTCGTACCGAATTGTTGTGAATTTTCTGCCATCCCCTCTATTAGCTCCCGTGCTTCCTGAGGGGTTTTGTTTACCAGTGCCCCTCCACTTGCAGCATCAATTATGCTCCTGTCCCCGAAAAGGAGCCCCTCATAAAAATACTGTATGACCAACTGCTCACTTATTTGGTGTTGGGGCACCTGCGCAACAAGTTCTTATACCGTTCCCAATACTCATAAAATGACTCCCCTGGATGCTGCTTGATCCCGCAAATTTCTTTCCTCAGACTTGCAGCCCTGGACGCAGGAAAATATTTATCCAAAAATTTTTTCTTCAATTGGTCCCACGTGGTGATGCTGCCTGGCGATAGGTAGTACAGCCAGTCCTTCGCAGAATCTTTCAAGGAGAAGGGGAACGCCCTCATTTTTATCTGCTCTTCTGTGATTCTCGGGGGTTTCATACTATTGCACACGACATCAAACTCCTGCAGATGCTTATACGGCTCCTCACCTGGTAAGCCATGAAAAGAAGGTAAAAGATGAATTAGACCTGATTTCAATTCGAACGAAGTGTTATCACCCAAACTCGGGAAAGTAATGCATAAAGGCTGCTGAGTCAAATCAGGAGCAGCCAACTCCCTTAATGTTCGTGCATTAGCCATGGTGCTCTCCTCCTGGTCAGAGTCACTCGAAGTGTTACCAAACGAATCTGTTGGTTCAACTTCTGACTCGGGTCTTTGAGATGTAGCACTGGAGTGCTCTTCTCTGAGCTGTCTGGTTTCCTTTCTCGTTCTACGTGCGGTCTTCTCTACCTCAGGGTCAAAAATCAAATCACCTGTACGAGAAGATCGAGGCATACACTAGAAGAAAACTAGAAAATTAGAACAAAAAAAATGAATTTAAAGAGAAACAGATAATAACGCCAGTCCCCGGCAACGGCGCCAAAAATTGACAGGGTGTCGAAGCCTGTGCAATAATAAAATAAAACCTATTTGCCAATTAAAATGACCAAACCCGATTCCAAGTACTGGAGCGGGGACTCTAGGTGTGCAATGGGTTACTTGATTCACCCTGTTCCCAAAGAGTTTGCTTGATCCGATATACCCGAATGGAATGGTTATTTATTTTCACAAATAATTATGAATTTGCAGACAGGGCAAGTAGGGTCGTATCCACAGGGATTGGGTATATTTGTTTCTTAAGAAATTCAAAGTAACACAGGGGGTGATTTTGTAGGAACAACGACAACCAAATAAATTCAAATAAGAAAATAAAAATAAATAACTAATTATAAATTAAACCACAATTCACTGAACTTAGAATAACAATAATTAAAGTCCTAAATCTATTAAAACAAGGGAACAATTAAAAATGCAATAAAGTAGACAACCAAAAACCAAATGGCACTTCACTAAAATCAAGATAATATTAATTAAAGATCTAGCCAAGAAGTAACTTCAGCAATGGTTCACCTAATTGATCATTGATGCAAGGCAATCCCAATTATTTACCAATAAATAGGTTATAACTACCAAACAAGCGATGGCAGTCAACCCCTCCTTACTGTGTCGGTGATCAAGGTACGCCCGTTAATCACTGCTCTAATTGAGAAATAATTCTAGGTACGCCCATAGAATTTAATTCCCCAATTGCCTTACGTATTAGAGGAGCCCTATTCTAACCAAATAACACACTACCAGGGTTACTTTAGATTAGCCCGCGTATCCCCCTGACGCGAATCTAATCGTGCCAGTTGTCACTATTTTGAGGTAATTAAACAATTACGGATTTAATACCCAAGTGATAATAGATTACCAAATCAATTAATTATCCGGATCCAAGACAATCAACTAATTAAATAACCATAAGCATAGTAATCAGGGAATACACGAATACCAATAAATAAAAGGGAAAGATTAAATTAAATCGATCTCACAATTTTTAGACGAGCCAGACCCTTCGTTGCTCCTTGACTAGGATTGGAAAATTAGCTCATAATTGATGAACTAAATCCACGGGAAATTGAAAAGGGAACTGCGGCCATCAATTGAGAAAATGCCCAGGTTCAACTCGGTCAAAACAACAAAGCACAGCAAAGTTTCAGAGTATCATTTACTGTCCTCGCTTGTCTGCTCATACGAGAGGGAGAAGGAAAAGAACAACTAAAAGCTACAAAAAGGAAGGTCAAAGGCTGATGCCTCCTTTCTTCCCCATGTCCGTGAGAATGACTCCCATAGGCTAAGAAAAGTCAAAAACTAGAGCTAATAATTGCTTGTTTCCCCCATTCGTACATGTCTTAAGCCAAAAAGTAAAGTACAAGGGAAAAATCAAGAATTGCTGCTAAGCTACAGACGGAAGACCCCGCACAAGCTAGCTCTCCAACTTCCTCCTCCTTCTTTCCTTTTAATTGCGGCGCACATCAACAGGAAGCGAAGCCCTCCGTCCGTCATTCCCTTGCGAAAATTACCAAAATGGGCGTGACATTTTTTTTCCAAAAGTGCCCCTGGAACAAGCTTTATGATCTGAATTCTTTTCCTGTCGATTTGGCACCTGTTATCATATTTTCGTTCTACTCCCTGAAATATACGTAAATTAAGAAAAATGAGTAGAATCCAGCAATTAATCCACATCAAGTCAGGTAATAAGGGAAAATGATAATAAAATAAATAGATAAATTGCAGTCTATCAGGAAGTGAGTGTTTCGTATGTAGTTTCTCATGTTCCAATTTTTAACACATCCAGTAATTCATATACTTCAATAGTTCCCATCTAATACAGTCTCAATTTTTTAACATATAAATCACCTTTATAGTTTCAATTAATTTGATATTAAACGTACTTTTAATTTCAAAACTTGAGAGGTTAACTATTTCAAATTGCTGCATAGATTTCAAATCAAAACAAGTAAAAAATTCAAGTAAATTTGTGCCTCATTAAATATCTATACATCTGTATCTATACATTTATAGATCCTCCTATATATAAAGTATGAGGGATGATTTAGGTGCTAAAATTTTTTGTTAATTTGCACACCCCTAGGGTGTGCTTTTCCCTCCCTATGTATAATGTACAAGTGTTGGATTTGAAGTTAAGAAATTATATTATCAGTTATTATTTCAGTTTTACCCTTGCATGATAGAACACTATATAATCACATCTCATCTTCCATACCCTGCATTCAAGCATATTACACACAATATCTCTAACTTTTACAACTACAACTAGAATAAACCTTCTAAAAACAACCAATAACTTACTTTCATTTCAAAAAAAAAAATAAAAGATATACTCCCATTTATAAGCCTAATAAAATTTCAAATAATCACTAACAAATTAATATCTTTTTCTTTAAGAATATTTTTATGTGTTAAAATTTTTTTATTGTGCATGCATCTACTATATGCCTTTTCCACTAGTAATATATAAAGTGGGAGAATCATTATGTAATATAAACATAAAATATCACTTTTTGAAGTTTCTTTGCTACCCTTTAATTATAAGGGCAAATTGGTCCCCATTTAACGCAATACAACACCCCACGATCAGAAGTTTTTTGCATAATAACTCTTTTCTCGAAAAATTTTCCCATAGTAAAGACAATTTGAAATAATATACCATTTGTATTTGGTGCGACACGAATTTTTTATGCAAAAGTTTAACGCAATTATGTACTTCAGCATTATCATCACACCCCATCTTTAATCCTTGCTCTTTTTTCTTCTTTAGCATTACAATGATAACTTTTAAGTATAAGGTGCATCAACTCTACTTAAAGACAATAATTATCACAAACTTTACTATCTTGGTTTAGTTTTTTCTATACAAAAGAAAAAAATTCAATGGGTGACAAACATTGGTTCAATTTTGTCTTTTTTTTTAAACTTGAAAATTTCATTTCTGATTTAACTTGGAAATAGCTTCTTTTTTTTTTCATTGTTTCAATTTTGTCATTAATTAGTGAAATGGTCAGAATATAATTTTTGTTTGGGATAATTTTAGAAACCTCCCTTGAGGTCTCTAACAATTTCAGAATCCTCTCCTTAGCTTTCAAAAATTACACTCACTTTCACTGTTTATGTTTCAAAATAGGCTCAATAGGCGACCAATTCTTTCAAATATCCTAAACTATCCTTTTTGTCAAAAAAGATAAAAAGGAAAAATAAAAAGAGCTTCGCTAATTGCCTTTCTTCCAACACCAAAGGCAACAAAACTCTTTCTGCCAAAAATAAAAGCTTGGAAAAAAGGATAAGCCTAATCATTTTTGCAAAAGAAAAAAGATGAAAATAGAGAAAAAAAAAAAAGAAAGGAAAGGAAGGGGATAAATACGGACAAAAAAGGAATATTAGGCAGAGAGGAATGGATGGTAGAAATTGGCCAAAAAAGGAAGTGGAAGAAAGAGTAAGGTAAAAAAGAAGTGAGAGAGAGAGAGAGAGAGAGAGGGAGAGGGAGGGAGGGAGAGAATAAGTCAATTTTGGTTTTCCTTGGAATTTTTGAAATTTTTGAAAAAAAAATGTCATTAAGTATCCTATATAGGGGTAGTCGAGTACTTTTGAAGCAATAGGGGAGGTATGTGTAATTTTAAAATATTAAAGGGAGCTTTGTGAAATTGTTAGAAACCTCAAGGGAGGTTTTCGAAATTACCCTTTTTGTTTTCAAGCTATGAGAGCTTTTGAATTTGAGTATATTTTTTTCTCTTCTTTTGTTCCTAATGATGGTATTTATCACTTCATGATGATCCAAATTATTTAAAGCATTTCAATTGTTTTGAAAGATTTTTTTAAACGTAATGCATTTTCTGATAAAAGTACTTAAGACTTGATATT